AAACTATAATCATATTTAATACTTTTATGGGTAATATGGAATTTTTTTTTGAGTAAGCAAGGTTATAAAGTAGAAGATAAAACATTAAAATATAAACTCTCTTAGTAGTATCTCCCAGTGTTTCTTTCCTCACACTTGGGAAGAGTGTAGAAGAGTATAAATTAATTTTTTTCAGTCACTTTTTAAAAATCAGCTTAGAAACAAGCTTATCTAAACTATCTAAACTTATTTTAAACTTTGAAAGAAAATAATATATAGCTTCCCTTTTTTTGCTGACTTTACCAAGCATGATATCCTTTTCCAGGGACTGGTCCCTTCTGACCATTTGACCAAAGTAGGTAAGATGATATCTGGCCATTCTCGCTTCTAAGGAACATTTTGGCTGCACTTTTTCCAGGACACGTTTGTTCATTCTTCTGGCAGCCCATGATATTTTCAGTATTCTTTGCCAACACTGTAATTCAAAGGCATCAACTCTTCTTCAGTCTTCTTATTTATTGTCCAGCTTTCACATGGATGTGAGGAGATTGAAAATACTGTGGCTTGGTTAGGAGCACCTTAGTCTTTAAAGTGATAATCTTTGCCCTTTAACACTTTAAAGAGGTCTTTTGCAGCAGATTTGCCCAGTGCGATATGTCATGTGATTCTTGACTGCTGCTTCCATGGGTGTTGATTGTGGATACACGTAAAATAAAATCCCGACTTCAATCTTTTTTCCATTTATTGTAATGTTGCTTATTGGTCCATTTGTGAGGATTTTTGTTTTCTTTATGTTGAAGTGTTATCCATACTGAAGACTGTAGTTTTTGCTCTTCATCAGTAAGGGTTTCAAGTCATTTTCACTTTCAGCAAGCAAGGTTGTGTCATCTGCATCTCGCAGGTTGTTGTTTTCTGCCAGTCCTGATGCTGCGCTTTCCTTCATGTAGTCCAACTTCGTGGATTAGTTGCTCAGCATACAGAGTGAATAAATATGATGAAAAGATATAACCCTGATGCCTACCCTTCCTGATTTTAGACTATATTGTATCCCCTTGTTCTGTTCAAATGACAGCCTCTTAGTCTATGTACAGGTTCCTCATGAGCACAATTAAGAAGAGCACAATTAAGTATTCTGGAATTCCCATTCTTCACAATGTTACCTATAATTTGTTATTCTCCATGCAGTCTGATGTCTTTGCATAGTCAGTAAAACACAGGTAAACATCTTTCTGGTATTGTTTGCTTTCAGCCAAGATCCATCTGACATTAGCAATGATATGCTTTGTTCTACATCCCCCTCTGAATCCGGCTTACATTTCTGGAATTTCCATGTCACTATACTGCTGCCACTGTTTTTGAATTATCTTCAGCAAAATTTTACTTGTGGGTGATATTGAGGATATTGTTTAATAATTTCCACATTCTTTTGGATCACATTTTTTTTGGAATGGATCTCTGCAGTTGGCTGGCCAGGTAGCTAGCTATCTTCCAGATTTCTTGGTGTAAATGAGTAAGCATCTCCAGCACTGCATCCGTTTGTTGAAACATCTCAATGGGTATTCTGTCAATTCCTGGAGCCTTTTATTTTTCTTCTTGCCAAGTCCTTCAGTGCACTTTGGACTTCATCCACTAATACCATTGGTTCTTGATCATATGGTACCTCCTGACATAGTTGAACATCAACCAGTTATTTTTGGTACAGTGACTTTGTATATTCCTTCCATCTTCTTTTGATGCTTCCTACATGGTTCAGTATTTTCCTCAGAGAATCCTTCAGCATTGCAACTTGTGGCTTGAATTTTTTTCTTTAGTTCTTGTCAAGCGTGTTCTTCCCTTTTGGTTTTCTACCTCCAGGTCTTTGCACATTTCATCATAATATTTTACTTTATCTTCTTGAGCTGCCCTTTGAAATCTTCTGTTTACCTCTTTTATTTCATCATTTCTTCCATTTGCTCTAGCTACTTTGCATTTAAGAGCAAGTTTCAGAGTGTCTTCTGACATCCTTTTTTTTTTCTTTCCTGTCTTTTTAACAATCATTTGCTTTCTTCATGTATGATGTTCTTGATGCATCCCACAAATTGTCTGGTCTTTGGTCGCTGCTTTCAATGTGTCATCATAGGAATCTATTTTATATGTTTGTGAATTATTAGTTCTTATTCTCTAATATGGTTTTTTCACTATCAGTTAACTATGGGTAATTCTAATATTTATCCTTAGAATTTACTCACTTGCTGTCCATATGGGGCTTCATGTTAGCACATGAACTTTATCATAATTTAGTAAAAGTGGAACTCAGTCAAAGGGATCACAGAATTCCATGTTTCTTTCCCTTTTTCAACTGTTCATAATTTTGTTGAAGATGTTATTAAAATGCATATATTCTTTTAACTTCCATTTTATTTATTTATTTATTTTTAAATTATTTTTGTAGTGTTCCCTCCCCTCCCCTCCCACCCCTGATAACCAACAAAGTTTCCTTCAATATAAACCTTTCCTTGACTTTTTATAATGATGAACTAATACAGTATTTGTCCTTCTGTGATTGACTTATTTCAGCATAATGTCCTCTAAGTTCATCCACGTTATGCAGTGTTTTGCAGATTCTACGTTATTCTTTAGTGTTGCATAGTATTCCATTGTTTATGTACCATAGTTTGGTTATCC